TCGGAAGCATATGACGCACTTGGACGTCGCAGATGATACGGTTTTTCGGCCACCTATCGGCCAAAATTGAAGACGCATGTTAGCGAGCAGCGCTCGCGGACCGGAATGCAAGTTTTTCCAAAGCAAGTCCTCAGTGCTCATTGTAATTCAAGGACGAATTTTGTAGTCTGCCACCAACTAAGAATGCAGCCTCCAGTAGTCATCAGCCAGGCTGATCATTTGGATGCATCTGATAAGCATCTGAGTGCCCATTTTTACATCTTCGACATCGAGACCAGGACGTCTTATGCGGTGAACAAATTTGTATACGTATCCAAAAGTGTGGGTGATCTTTTGCCAAGAATTCACGAACTTGCATTTTGAAGATAGGTCCACTTCTTTAGCGACGCCGACCAAAATGCGCTTTCTGAGGTCGGGGAGAGTCTTCACTGGCATACAAGATTCAGGCCAACCGCGCTGATCCTTAAGAAGAAATTCTGGGCCTCTGAACCAAAGGGCAGATTCCAGAAGCTCGCTCGGGGAAGCACCTCTTGACAAGATGTCGGCTAGATTGTAGTCGGTCGGTACATAGCGCCAATTCATTCCACTGGATAGCTCTTGAATTAAAGATATTCGATTAGCAATAAAAACTTGAAAACGTGAAGGTTCATCGCTTATTAATGATAAAGCTACAGCAGAATCTGACCAGCAAAAAAACGGGCAATCAAAGAGCTTGCGTACGTCCCGCATCAGTTGAGCCCGTAAGAAAGCAGCGCACAACTCTAATTTGGGAACAGTGAGAGTCTTCAAAGTTGCCACACGAGATTATGAGCAAAATAGATGCACTTCTCGTTTGCCATCAGCTATTAAAACGAGATAGATATATCCTCCATATGCGTCGATGCTAGCGTCACAGAATCCGTGGATCTCAATAGCACCATTTGGCGAGCAATTGTGGAAAGCACCAGCCGTTTACATGGCTTTGGAGAGAAAAAGAAAAACGAAAGACATCCGCTGCAGGATCCCAAGCAAGACCCAGTGTCTTGGTAAAGTCGCTGCCATCGTCAAACTTCAGGAATGTTTCTTTTCCCGAGTCTGGAACTTTATCAAGGACATCGCGCTCGTTGGAACACCATTTCCTGAGCTTAAAGCCACCTCGTGCAAGCAAGTTTGTTGTTTGAGACATGATTTCGAGGACTTCCTGTGTTGATTGGCCTCCTGTGATCAGATCATCAACGTAAAAGTCCCGCAAAATGATTTTAGAACCGATTGGAAATGTGCTCTTCTCATCATTCGCCAGTTGATGCATCGCGCGAACGGATAAAAAGGCTGCAGGCTTAGTTCCATAGGTCACGGTATCAAGCTTGAATACCTGCACCTCCTGGTCCGGTGAGTCACGCCAAAGAATACATTGAATACCTGCACCTCCTGGTCCGGTGAGTCACGCCAAAGAATACATTGAAGATAGCTATCGGGTTCATCCACGCGAACACACCGATACATCTTGCAGATGTCACCAGTCAATGCAACAGGGAAAGTCCGAAACTGTAACAGCGTGTTGAACAGCTTCTGTTAAATGGTAGGCCCTGCCATGAGAACCTCGTTCAGCGAATGTCCACTTGACGTTTTGGCAGACCCATCTTTGAAAACACAGTGGTGGGGCAGAAAATATTTGCAAAGAGTTTCTGGGCACGACCGACATGTGCTTCAAATGCAAATATTCACGAATGAATGCCGAATATTGGACCTTGACTTCTGGCTTGCGCTCTAGCTTGCTCTCCAAATTGAGAAATCGACGATAAGCTTGATTGTACGATTCACCCAGTAATTCTAGAGTGTTATTCGCAGGTAATCGTACGGGATATTCACCAGAGTCTAAACGACGAAAGTTGGTCTTGGAATGAGCTTTGCACTCCAGTTCTTTTTTGGTGGCTGTGACCACGCCTTCACCACAGCTCTCAACTTCCCAAAAACGACGGACTAATTCATCCATATGAACTTCAGCAGCTACCAATTCAAAGTGAACAGCTTGGCCGTGTAATGCAGTTGCCTTGAGAATAGAAGATCCACCTCCTGTAACGATCCAACCAAGCCTTGTTTTCTGCAATAGGGGGTAACCCAGCAGCCAACTTAATTTGCCCTACAGATAATAGCTCAAAGAACATGCTTGCTCCAATAAGGAGATCTATTCGCCGAGATCTATAGAAATCCGGATCGGCCAGCTGAATATTCGAGGGAATTTTCCAACCATCGGGTTTAACTGTCAAAGTGGGTTGATTGCCGGTAACCGCTGGAGCAACAAGAGCAGGCATGCGAAGTAATCAGAAGTGTTCGACTTTAACTTAACGCAAACGGAAACTCCTTCAGAGTCAAATCGAGCATCTCCAAGACCTGCAACTGATATGGTAGACTTGGTTTTATGCAACTGCAACTGGTGAGCGAGTCGGGAAGTCACAATGTGGACTTGAGATCCCGAGTCTAGCAGCGCACGGCTGATCGACTTTGAACGCTTATGATGGCAGTTGCAAGAAAGACAATGTCAGAATCCACATTCTGAGCCAGCAAAGAGGTAGAAAGGCTTGAAGTGGTTGCAATTGGCGTACTTTGTTCTGCAGCTGGAGCTCGCATAACCTGGGTCGAAGACTGAGTGCCAAGGTGCAAAAGGGTGTGATGCTTGGACCTGCAAGTTCGACAGCAGCCTAACTTACAATTGCGCATTTGATGGCCCTTCTTTAAGCAATTAAGACAGAGCGCTAATTCCTTTACCTTTCGAATACGCTCTTGCACTGACAAATTGGCGAATTGACCACAGCTATAAATTGAATGACCACTGTTGTCGCAAATAACACATCCATTTCCAAAAGTGTTAGTGTCAATTAAAATGCTTTTGTTGCGGCTTCTTCCTGATTGGGAACTATATGAGTACGATGCTGCAGTATGCTCTACATTTTCCAATTTTTGACAACGCTTTGACAAAAATGTAGTAAATTGATCAATCGAAGGAATTTCATCAATAGCCGCAGATTCTTCCCAATTGGCCTGAGCTTTGCTGCCTAATTTTTGGAGTAAAACATGAACCAGAATGCAATTTGAGCACGTAGATTAGCATTTATTTTATCAGATATATCTCTCAGCTTCGCTGCGGACCGCATTTCCACTTTAGGGAGACCCAAAATTGGCCCAAATATGGGATTGGAAAATTAGACGCTTATTATTGAAACGGATATTCAATAACTCCAAGGCTACAGCATAGTTGCTGTCACAAATTTCTAATGAGCGCACTGTATCCAAGGCGCAACCCTTCAGGCTAGACTTTAAATGCTGCAGCCTCTCAATGTTAGTGAGCTCCACGTCATTGTCAATGATAGCTTTGAACATGGATTGAAAGTCGACAAATTCAGTATAGCCACCAGAAAATTCAGGCAACCTCAATTCAGGCAAATTGACGCTTACCCAATTCTCGATTTAGCATGATTTGTATTGATATGATGAGCTCTTCAAAATCATCGCGAACCTGGCTGCCGATTTCATTAAAATCCAGTTCTTCAAGACTGTCATGGACCTGGGCAAATGCAGCCTTATTCTCCTCTGAGAGCTTAACATGAAGCTCTAATTCTTCCTCATTCATCGCCTGGAGCTTCTCAACAGTCAAGGCCCTCTCAGAGGATTTCGCCTTAGAAAGCATTGATTCAGCCTTCAATTTAAGATGCTTCACCCCTGAACTAAAGCAGCTAAAGTTGTTTCGGTTGACATTTTAATAAATTTATTTTATTATTTTCAGCTTTTATCACTCGCAAAATAATTAAATTCCACTGTGCAGTGCGTGCTGTACCAAAACTCTTGACCACCGAAAACTAACGGAATGTATGTGCGTCTATTTGCACATAAACGGCAATATAGCGGTGGAAGGGGGTGCAACGAACTCGCGAACAAAAACGTTTGGTCGCCGCTGTAAAACGTTTCAAAGCGGGAACGAAGGCACAAAGAGGAAACCAAAATGTTCTATATGATGCGCGGGGCGGGTGCGAAGTGAGTTTCTAGCGGTGTTTATGTGTTACCGCTTGCGCTTGCATATGTACTTAGAACTTGCAAGTTATGTATATGCGCGATCAATCAAACGAACGAAAATTAAATTGTTTGTTTGGTTGCACTTTAGTTTTTATTGTTTTTAGATCACGTCGGGGTCACCAAAATGTTGGGTCAGTGAGCTTTTTCACTAACGCTAACCTTTAATGGTGCCCAATTAAAACAAAACCGCACAAGATTTCAATTAAATATGCACTAATTTTATTCTAAATGACACCAATGCCTTAATTACAAAGTTTAATGTTTATGCTTAAGATTATTTGGTTGGGCAGGCAGACCGATTTGTCTGTGCCTTTTAACAGCGAAAGTATAAACGAAGAGAATGGGCAGGCGATCTGCGACCGTGCCTTCAGCGAGCGAGTACAAAATCATGCCACTGGATAGCTCTTGAATTAAAGATATTCGATTAGCAATAAAAACTTGAAAACGTGAAGGTTCATCGCTTATTAATGATAAAGCTACAGCAGAATCTGACCAGCAAAAAAACGGGCAATCAAAGAGCATCATGTTGCGTACGTCCCGCATCAGTTGAGCCAGTAAGAAGGTTAGGTTAGGTTAGGACGGCTGCCAGGCTGTAGCCTGGTACACTTAGACCTCTGTGGGTCCATTGTGATACCGTATGATCTCTATTTTTGGGTCCCCTATCCGTTAAGAGTCAGCCTGTAAGTTGGTCGATCAGCAGGTCCCCCATCCGGAGGATTTAATAAAAGAGATTAGACTCTTCAGGTTAGTCTGCGATATTTCGGTCAGGTCATTTATGAAAGGCTATCCTAAGTGTTTCAGTCTGAGCCTGCATAGGGCTGGGCATGAACAGAGTAGGTGTTCCACCGTTTCCTCTTCTTCCTCATCCCTGCAGCTTCTGCAAAAATCGTTTTTTGGGGCTTTTAGCCTGCCGGCGTGTGCGCCAACGAGCCAGTGGCCTGTGAGTACTCGAATTAGCATGCTGCACTCAGTGCGGCGCTGAAATTGAGTAGTTCTGATGTTTTCTTATTGTTTATTACAGGCCATGTCTGGTGAGAGATTCGGCATTGCGGTGTGTTTTGCCAATAAGTGTTGGCTAATTTGCTGAAGTGGTTTTTAATAATTAGCTTACAAGTAGCCATCGGCATGCCGACATTCTCCTTTCCTGGAAGGAGAGGTATGGTGGTGCCTTGCCTGGCTAGCTCGTCTGCTATACAGTTGCCTACGATATCCCGGTGACCCGGAACCCATATAAGGCTGACAGTAAACTGATTAGCCATCTCGTGGAGAGATTTGCGACAGTCTGCTATTGTTCGGGAGCTTGTGTTTGTCGAGTAGATTGATTTAATAGCCGCTTGGCTATCACTATATATGTTTATGTGTCTGTTCTGGGTGTTTAAGTCCCTTAAACAGACAAGTGCTTCCATTATAGCGTACACTTCCGCTTGGAAGACACTGCAGTGGTCAGGAAGTCTGAAAGACCGCCTGATCTCTAATTGCTCGGAGTATATGCCTCCACCTACGTGTCCGTCTAGTTTGGAGCCGTCTGTATATAGACAGATTGCGTCTATTGAGCCCGGTCGGCCACGATCCCAAACTTCCCTGCCTGGGATCAGAGCTTCGAAGGGCGTGTGATTGTATTCACGGGTTTTACATAGATCCGTTTTTGGCGGGATCAATTTGTCATGCTGAAGAATCTTAGCGTGACCATACAGTTGGGCTTTCCATTGCCCTGTATCCCTTAGTCGAATGGCTGCCGATTTCGCCCTTTCCATTCCTGCTAAGTCCAGGCTCTGGAGGTTCAAGATCGCATTCAGCGCTTCGTTTGGGGTAGTTCCGCCTTTGGTGTTAATTGAGACGGCCGCGGAGACGCGGATTGGGACCTGTCCAAACGGATAGATGGGATCGACCTCGGTTTCTTGTCGTCTCCCGTGGGCATTCTTGGACTCGAACTTTGCGGATCAGCTCTTGTCGACAGACCTGAGCAAGGGGCGTCTCGTTCAGAACGTGAGGATATTCACCGTTAAGCTCTCGGCGCGATCTGAGTCGCCAACGAGTTGGTCGTCGCTGCCAATGAACGCACGCAAAAGAAAAGAAAGCCAGAGAACGGTCACACTGTTAATTTGTGCGGAGTAGAAAGCACAGTGCCATAAACAACAAGAAGAATCGGAAGAAAATATTTGGAAATCGATGAAACTGTATTGATTGTTTATATATTTGTATATCTTGTTGACTTCTGTTTTTTTGTTTATTTTAATTTTTCCCTTAGTTAGTGTTGCCAAATAATTTTTATTGTATTAATGTTTTTATTTATTTTTTTTTTTTTGTTTGGAAAATTTCTTTGATTGCAAAAAAAAATCCGGAAAACCGCAATAAAAATAAATTTATTAATCCATTAAATAAATTAATTACTTTGCTTTTGGAAATAATTAAATAATAATTATAATTATAAATACTTATTTTTTTCTTGGAGCCGGAATGGTGGAATTAAAAAACCTTGGCTTTGGTTCGGGAGAAGCGTTCACTGGGTTATGCCGGTCGGCAGCGCAGTGCATGCGTGAGGGCGCGGTAGAGAGAGAAAAGGAAAAAACAGCAACAATAACAACACGGCCGCTGCGGTGGTTAATGCGGCAATTTGGAGAAAAAACAATCACGGTCGCACCCGTGTGGATTTGAATTTATTTTATTTTATGTTCCTGAATGTGGAGGCAGAAAATATATTTATGTAGATATGGGCATGCATGCGTTTATGGATATGTGTATGTTCCTGTATGTGGAGGCAGAAAATAGTTCTATGTAGATATGGGCAGGCATGCGTTTATGTGTAAGTGTATATCGGTACAGTAGAGCGTCGAAGAGTGGACTGTATTTGAAGTGACGGAACAGATAAAATTATGTGGAAAGAAAAAAAAAACACAAGGCAAAAAAAATATCTCGACAGCGGCGGATTGTACGGCGAACAGGGAAACTCCCGAAATTACTTCACACCGAGTGACTGATATTAGTTATGCCTTTTTATTTTCCACCACACAATTTCACTTTTTGTCGTATTTTTTTTGGAGGCAGAATTGCACTGCACTATGTACACAAGTTGTCACGCGTGTATGTGTATGTCTGGATGCACATATGTATACCTTGACCGTTGGCAAGTTGATGTACAACGGGGAACGAAAGGAAAACGGCAAGGAGTATGGCGACGCACACAAAGCGGAGACGGATAGAAAATTTTTGGAATTGAAGGAATGTTAAATTTTCTCGACTGCCGTTGTGTCGGGAAAACTCGGACGTGGAGTTGACACAAAAATCTTACTGCAGTGTGAACGAAATTTAATGTTCGAACCACTGCTAAAGACCGGCAGCGAGAGGGAGTCGGAAAATGCTCGTACTTATCTTTTTTGCGGAAGAAATCACAGGAGCTGCTGGTCGAATGGCAGACGGATATCCTTATCCGGCTCGAAGGACCAAAATGTTTGTAGGGGGCGATCCTTCCACAAGAAGATTTGATGGCACAAAAAATTCCCACGGCGCAAACGCAAAGGGAGACGAAAATGAAGAAGTCGGGGGCGTCGTGGGGTAATTCAATGTATTTAGTTCAGCTGCATACAAGAGACTAATTAAAACTTAAAACTAAAACCGCGCTCCCGCCCGCTTTACTCCGTTCAAGCGAGAGCGGGAGATCGGCAGCGGCCGTCCGAGGAGTTCGGATGCGAAACCCGAAGTTCGCACTCTGGAGCGCGGACGTTGCGAGAGGCGAGCGAGGGAGCGCAAGAGGGGCGAGAGCGAAAGCTCGGAGAGCTCAGTGTCCAGCGCCAATGCAGTGGGCCACTGACCTAAACACGTAGCATTATCTGACCATATCCGGGCAGGTTTGCCTCTGGTGAGAATAAACCGCTTCAATGCTCTTAAGAACGCTGGTGTTGAAAGATCCTGAACAAGCTCCAGGTGGATCGCTTTCGTCGCGAAACAGATGAAAACGCAGACGTACGTTTTCACAGGCACCTTGCTTCGAACTCCGGTTTTGTAGCAAAATGGCCCGCAGAAGTCCAGACCAGTAACCATGAACGTTGATGTTGCATTTACACGATCCTTAGGTAGGTCAGCCATTAAATGCTGAGATAATTGTGGTTTAGCTCGGAAGCATATGACGCACTTGGACGTCGCAGATGATACGGTTTTTCGGCCACCTATCGGCCAAAATTGAAGACGCATGTTAGCGAGCAGCGCTCGCGGACCGGAATGCAAGTTTTTCCAAAGCAAGTCCTCAGTGCTCATTGTAATCCAAGGACGAATTTTGTAGTCTGCCACCAACTAAGAATGCAGCCTCCAGTAGTCATCAGCCAGGCTGATCATTTGGATGCATCTGATAAGCATCTGATTGCCCATTTTTACATCTTCGACATCGAGACCAGGACGTCTTATGCGGTGAACAAATTTGTATACGTATCCAAAAGGTGTGGGTGATCTTTTGCCAAGAATTCACGAACTTGCATTTTGAAGATAGGTCCACCTCTTTAGCGACGCCGACCAAAATGCGCTTTCTGAGGTCGGGGGAGAGTCTTCACTGGCATACAAGATTCAGGCCAACCGCGCTGATCCTTAAGAAGAAATTCTGGGCCTCTGAACCAAAGGGCAGATTCCAGAAGCTCGCTCGGGGAAGCACCTCTTGACAAGATGTCGGCTAGATTGTAGTCGGTCGGTACATAGCGCCAATTCATTCCACTGGATAGCTCTTGAATTAAAGATATTCGATTAGCAATAAAAACTTGAAAACGTGAAGGTTCATCGCTTATTAATGATAAAGCTACAGCAGAATCTGACCAGCAAAAAAACGGGCAATCAAAGAGCTTCATGTTGCGTACGTCCCGCATCAGTTGAGCCCGTAAGAAAGCAGCGCACAACTCTAATTTGGGAACAGTGAGAGTCTTCAAAGTTGCCACACGAGATTATGAGCAAAATAGATGCACTTCTCGTTTGCCATCAGCTATTAAAACGAGATAGATATATCCTCCATATGCGTCGATGCTAAGCGTCACAGAATCCGTGGATCTCAATAGCACCATTTGGGAGCAATATTGTGGAAAGCACCAGCCGTTTACATGGCTTTGGAGAGACCTGTATGGGAGAAAAAGAAAAACGAAAGACATCCGCTGCAGGATCCCAAGCAAGACCCAGTGTCTTGGTAAAGTCGCTGCCATCGTCAAACTTCAGGAATGTTTCTTTTCCCGAGTCTGGAACTTTATCAAGGACATCGCGCTCGTTGGAACACCATTTCCTGAGCTTAAAGCCACCTCGTGCAAGCAAGTTTGTTGTTTGAGACATGATTTCGAGGACTTCCTGTGTTGATTGGCCTCCTGTGATCAGATCATCAACGTAAAAGTCCCGCAAAATGATTTTAGAACCGATTGGAAATGTGCTCTTCTCATCATTCGCCAGTTGATGCATCGCGCGAACGGATAAAAAGGCTGCAGGCTTAGTTCCATAGGTCACGGTATCAAGCTTGAATACCTGCACCTCCTGGTCCGGTGAGTCACGCCAAAGAATACATTGAATACCTGCACCTCCTGGTCGGGTGAGTCACGCCAAAGAATACATTGAAGATAGCTATCGGGTTCATCCACGCGAACACACCGATACATCTTGCAGATGTCACCAGTCAATGCAACAGGGAAAGTCCGAAACTGTAACAGCGTGTTGAACAGCTTCTGTTAAATGGTAGGCCCTGCCATGAGAACCTCGTTCAGCGAATGTCCACTTGACGTTTTGGCAGACCCATCTTTGAAAACACAGTGGTGGGGCAGAAAATATTTGCAAAGAGTTTCTGGGCACGACCGACATGTGCTTCAAATGCAAATATTCACGAATGAATGCCGAATATTGGACCTTGACTTCTGGCTTGCGCTCTAGCTTGCTCTCCAAATTGAGAAATCGACGATAAGCTTGATTGCACGATTCACCCAGTAATTCTAGAGTGTTATTCGCAGGTAATCGTACGGGATATTCACCAGAGTCTAAACGACGAAAGTTGGTCTTGGAATGAGCTTTGCACTCCAGTTCTTTTTTGGTGGCTGTGACCACGCCTTCACCACAGCTCTCAACTTCCCAAAAACGACGGACTAATTCATCCATATGAACTTCAGCAGCTACCAATTCAAAGTGAACAGCTTGGCCGTGTAATGCAGTTGCCTTGAGAATAGAAGATCCACCTCCTGTAACGATCCAACCAAGCCTTGTTTTCTGCAATAGGGGTAACCCAGCAGCCAACTTAATTTGCCCTACAGATAATAGCTCAAAGAACATGCTTGCTCCAATAAGGAGATCTATTCGCCGAGATCTATAGAAATCCGGATCGGCCAGCTGAATATTCGAGGGAATTTTCCAACCATCGGGCTTAACTGTCAAAGTGGGTTGATTGCCGGTAACCGCTGGAGCAACAAGAGCAGGCATGCGAAGTAATCAGAAGTGTTCGACTTTAACTTAACGCAAACGGAAACTCCTTCAGAGTCAAATCGAGCATCTCCAAGACCTGCAACTGATATGGTAGACTTGGTTTTATGCAACTGCAACTGGTGAGCGAGTCGGGAAGTCACAATGTGGACTTGAGATCCCGAGTCTAGCAGCGCACGGCTGATCGACTTTGAACGCTTATGATGGCAGTTGCAAGAAAGACAATGTCAGAATCCACATTCTGAGCCAGCAAAGAGGTAGAAAGGCTTGAAGTGGTTGCAATTGGCGTACTTTGTTCTGCAGCTGGAGCTCGCATAACCTGGGTCGAAGACTGAGTGCCAAGGTGCAAAAGGGTGTGATGCTTGGACCTGCAAGTTCGACAGCAGCCTAACTTACAATTGCGCATTTGATGGCCCTTCTTTAAGCAATTAAGACAGAGCGCTAATTCCTTTACCTTTCGAATACGCTCTTGCACTGACAAATTGGCGAATTGACCACAGCTATAAATTGAATGACCACTGTTGTCGCAAATAACACATCCATTTCCAAAAGTGTTAGTGTCAATTAAAATGCTTTTGTTGCGGCTTCTTCCTGATTGGGAACTATATGAGTACGATGCTGCAGTATGCTCTACATTTTCCAATTTTTGACAACGCTTTGACAAAAATGTAGTAAATTGATCAATCGAAGGAATTTCATCAATAGCCGCAGATTCTTCCCAATTGGCCTGAGCTTTGCTGCCTAATTTTTGGAGTAAAACATGAACCAGAATGCAATTTGAGCACGTAGATTAGCATTTATTTTATCAGATATATCTCTCAGCTTCGCTGCGGACCGCATTTCCACTTTAGGGAGACCCAAAATTGCAGTTATATGGGATTGGAAAATAAGACGCTTATTATTGAAACGGATATTCAATAACTCCAAGGCTACAGCATAGTTGCTGTCACAAATTTCTAATGAGCGCACTGTATCCAAGGCGCAACCCTTCAGGCTAGACTTTAAATGCTGCAGCTTCTCAATGTTAGTGAGCTCCACGTCATTGTCAATGATAGCTTTGAACATGGATTGAAAGTCGACAAATTCAGTATAGCCACCAGAAAATTCAGGCAACCTCAATTCAGGCAAATTGACGCTTACCCAATTCTCGATTTAGCATGATTTGTATTGATATGATGAGCTCTTCAAAATCATCGCGAACCTGGCTGCCGATTTCATTAAAATCCAGTTCTTCAAGACTGTCATGGACCTGGGCAAATGCAGCCTTATTCTCCTCTGAGAGCTTAACATGAAGCTCTAATTCTTCCTCATTCATCGCCTGGAGCTTCTCAACAGTCAAGGCCCTCTCAGAGGATTTCGCCTTAGAAAGCATTGATTCAGCCTTCAATTTAAGATGCTTCACTCCCTGAACTAAAGCAGCTAAAGTTGTTTCGGTTGACATTTTAATAAATTTATTTTATTATTTTCAGCTTTTATCACTCGCAAAATAATTAAATTCCACTGTGCAGTGCGTGCTGTACCAAAACTCTTGACCACCGAAAACTAACGGAATGTATGTGCGTCTATTTGCACATAAACGGCAATATAGCGGTGGAAGGGGGTGCAACGAACTCGCGAACAAAAACGTTTGTTGCGTACGTCCCGCATCAGTTGAGCCAGTAAGAAGGTTAGGTTAGGTTAGGACGGCTGCCAGGCTGTAGCCTGGTACACTTAGACCTCTGTGGGTCCATTGTGATACCGTATGATCTCTATTTTTGGGTCCCCTATCCGTTGAGAGTCAGCCTGTAAGTTGGTCGATCAGCAGGTCCCCCATCCGGAGGATTTAATAAAAGAGCTTAGACTCTTCAGGTTAGTCTGCGATATTTCGGTCAGGTCATTTATGAAAGGCTATCCTAAGTGTTTCAGTCTGAGCCTGCATAGGGCTGGGCATGAACAGAGTAGGTGTTCCACCGTTTCCTCTTCTTCCTCATCCCTGCAGCTTCTGCAAAAATCGTTTTTTGGGGCTTTTAGCCTGCCGGCGTGTGCGCCAACGAGCCAGTGGCCTGTGAGTACTCGAATTAGCATGCTGCACTCAGTGCGGCTGAAATTGAGTAGTTCTGATGTTTTCTTATTGTTTATTACAGGCCATGTCTGGTGAGAGATTCGGCATTGCGGTGTGTTTTGCCAATAAGTGTTGGCTAATTTGCTGAAGTGGTTTTTAATAATTAGCTTACAAGTAGCCATCGGCATGCCGACATTCTCCTTTCCTGGAAGGAGAGGTATGGTGGTGCCTTGCCTGGCTAGCTCGTCTGCTATACAGTTGCCTACGATATCCCGGTGACCCGGAACCCATATAAGGCTGACAGTAAACTGATTAGCCATCTCGTGGAGAGATTTGCGACAGTCTGCTATTGTTCGGGAGCTTGTGTTTGTCGAGTAGATTGATTTAATAGCCGCTTGGCTATCACTATATATGTTTATGTGTCTGTTCTGGGTGTTTAAGTCCCTTAAACAGACAAGTGCTTCCATTATAGCGTACACTTCCGCTTGGAAGACACTGCAGTGGTCAGGAAGTCTGAAAGACCGCCTGATCTCTAATTGCTCGGAGTATATGCCTCCACCTACGTGTCCGTCTAGTTTGGAGCCGTCTGTATATAGACAGATTGCGTCTATTGAGCCCGGTCGGCCACGATCCCAAACTTCCCTGCCTGGGATCAGAGCTTCGAAGGGCGTGTGATTGTATTCACGGGTTTTACATAGATCCGTTTTTGGCGGGATCAATTTGTCATGCTGAAGAATCTTAGCGTGACCATACAGTTGGGCTTTCCATTGCCCTGTATCCCTTAGTCGAATGGCTGCCGATTTCGCCCTTTCCATTCCTGCTAAGTCCAGGCTCTGGAGGTTCAAGATCGCATTCAGCGCTTCGTTTGGGGTAGTTCGAAGGGCTCCACTCATACACAAGGCCGCCATGCGCTGTACTTTGTTAAGTGGAGTTAAGATACATTGTTTGTGTAAAGCGGTCCACCACAGAGCCACTCCATATAGTAGGATTGGCTTGACTACCGCTATGTATATCCAATTGACTATTTTAGGGGACATACCCCATCTTAGCCCAATTGCTTTTTTACAAGAGTAAAGTGCAATGGTCGCTTTCTTGGTTCTGTCTTGGTTGTTTAGTCCCCATTTAAGACGCTTATCTAATACTAACCCCAAGTATCTTGCGTGCTCGCTAAAAGAGAGATTACAGTTGTTTAAAATGGGTGGGTTAAGTTTAGGGATTTTGTATCTATTTGTAAAAAGGACTAGTTCCGTTTTTGAGGGATTTACCCCAAGTCCGTTCTTTGTAGTCCATTCCGATAGTGTTTTTAGTTTTGCGGTCATAAGATCGCATAACGTTTGTGGGTACCTACCATTAAAGATGATAGCGACATCGTCTGCGTATGCCACTATTTTACAGCCTCCTCCTTCAAGAATCCGCATAGGGGGTGATAGTACACCTCCTTGCGGAGTGCCTCTGTTCACTAATCTAGTCTGGGTCGAGGTCCCTAGTGTGGCCGTGACCAATCTGCTTATCAGCAATTTGTGGATCAGCCCCACCAGTGGTGGCTCAACCCCTAGTTCAGTGAGGGATTCTGTTATTGCCGTGGGGAGCACGTTGTTGAACGCTCCTTCTATGTCAAGGAAGGCGATCAAGGTGTATTCTTGTATACTGAGTGATTTCTCGATGTTGCTAACTACCAAGTGTAGCGCCGATTCGGTCGACTTACCTTTGGTGTATACGTGTTGCGCCTCTGATATCTGCGTCGGGTCAATGATGTCTCTAATATGTAGACCTAACAGTCTTTCTAAGATTTTAAGCAGGAATGATGTCAGACTTATCGGTCTGAAATCCTTCGCTGTAGTATGGGTGGCTTTCCCTGCCTTAGGGATGAAAACGACTTTCGTTTCCCGCCATGCTGTAGGTAGTTCTCCTACTGCAAGAATGGTCTGGAATATTTTTCTCAGCCAGTTTATAGCTAGTTCTCCTGCTTGTTGAATATGTTCCGGTGTTATATTATCCGGTCCCGGCGATTTGTATGGCTTAAAACTATGAATGGACCAGTTTATATTACGGTCTGATAGTAGGAGATTTAAGTTTATTCCTTCTCCGGTGTGTCTTCCTGGGGGATGTCCTGATTGTAGGCTCCCTGGGAAGTGAGCGTCTAGGAGTAGGTTTAGGGATTCTTCACTAGAGTCCGACCATGATCCGTCAGCCTTTTGGAGATAGCCCAAGGATACGGCTGTCTTAGAAAGTATTTTTCTGAGCCTTGCGGCATCAGTTGTCTTTTCAATGTCCGAGCAGAAGTTCTGCCACGCAGTTCTCTTCTCTTTTCTAATGTCCTTTTTGTATGTGGCTAGTTCCTTTTTGTAGCTTTGCCAGTTTATGTCCTCATTTGCAGCTTTCGCTCTGTTGAACAGGTTTCTGCATTTGGCTCTGAGGATTGATAATTGCTGGGTCCACCAAGGAAGTGTTTTCCTTCCCCTTGGTTTCCCTAACATGCAGCTTAGAATGCCGCGTTGCATGCTTCTGTGAACTTGTTTACTATATTATCTAGCTCCTGAGTGCAAGGAGTGCTTTCTGGTGGCTTCCTGGGGAGGAAGTTCGATAGAATTTCTTTGTATTTATTCCAGTTTGCCCGCCTGGGGTTGGCAAAGCTGACCGGCACAGGTGATACTAGGGACAAAGTTGTCTCTATAAAGCTATGATCTGAAAATGAGTGCTCGTTGGAGACAGCCCAGTTTGTGACTGTGTTTATGAGTGAATCTGATGCCAGGGTTAGATCTATGATCGTTTGGCACGTTTTTGTTATAAAAGTAGGGGTATTGCCCCTATTGCAAAGAAATAAATTCGATTTAAGAATGAAGTCGAATAAAGACTCACCTCTGTCGTTGTTGATAGGGCAGCCCCACTGAGTATGGTGGGCATTTGCGTCGCATCCTATCACCAAACCTTTCTTAAGCTCTTCACATTCCTGTACCAGTCCTCTGACTAGCGCGTCTGGGGGGTCTACCTTTTCGGAAGCCATGTAGGCCGATAGCATCCTAAAAGAGCCGCTTTGCAGCTCCAGGCTTATTGCTGTGTTGTCTCCGTTGCTGTATTTGTGAAGCAGAAATGTACTAAGACGCCGTTTGGCTAAAATGCAGGTTCGAATTTTACCTTGTTTGGGGTCATGCATAAGCTTGTAGTCTTTTGTTCCCAGTCCAGCAACCCTGCCTCCTGCTACCCAGGGTTCCTGAACTAAGACCACGTCGGCTTCGCCTTTGGCCAGGCGAAGCAAAAGAGCAGCGGACGCTGCTTTACTGTGATGTAGGTTGATCTGCAGGAGTCTTAGCGACATCCCAAGCTGCAACCTCCACCACAGTAACGTCGGCCTCCGAATCGCTCAGGTCCACTTCGTCGATTGCCGGTCCCATCGCTCGCATCTCTCTGCTTAGCGACGAGTCGGTTGAATAGCCGTCCTCCGGCACACCAGGGGCCTCCACTTCCACCGCAAGCACCTGCTCGGCTGGGTTGCCGGCAGGACTTCCAGAGGAATTAGAGTCCCCTTTATAGATTTTAATGTGTATGGCACTGAACCCATAGTTAAGCGTTCCCCGAGCAGCCTCTATGGGAGCGATAGACTCCTTATTCAGTACCACAATCGCTTGGTTTACGTCTCCTTCGTGCTCCTCCACCTTAACGACCTTCCAGTCTTTTGTGGGGAGATGTGGGTTGCATTCTTGCAACATAAAGAGGATGTCCTCCGGTGATGCGATTGCTGCTGGGAGCCAAATTCTGGCTCGCGGTCTACTGGGGACGTCACACCAATCTAGTGCGACTATGTTCGCCCCTTCGTAGACTGCTCCGAGCTGAGCTACCGCCTGTTTATATAGGTCAGCTGATCGCTGATTATCGCAGGCCACCACTTTTACACTGCCCTGGTACCAGCCCGCGTCCATACAGCATGGCGCTGAACCGGGCTTCTCGCGTACCATACGCAGGCAAATGAGTGACAGCTTGGACTCAACCGCCTTCCATTTGTTTCTGGGGATCCTGCTCTCCGGATTTCCCCTATCAATGAGTCCAAGTAGGACCCGATCTTTGGTGATCTCGGCAAAGGAGACCGACGGCTGGATCCTCGATCTCTTCGCCGACGGGCCGGGCAGCTTTATGGAGCGTTGCCTCTTCGCCTGAGCACCTTCTTGTTGGGGCTTCTCTTGCCCATAGTTGGGAAACACCGTCCTTGCCCACTCTACCTTCTTTAGCCATTCGGGCGAAGGCGTGGCGACAGTGCTTCTGGCATGTGAGCGCAGGGTTTGGGCGGCAGTCCGTCTCTCTGCGTAAGTAAAATTCTTCTTTGCACCAGCGGGTGACCCGATCGACTTTGCTGCGCCTACCACTGGTTTTGGCGCAGATGCGCACATAGCAGAGGCGTTAGCGACAGTCTTTCTGTCCCCCGTCATCCCTAGTTTGGGATGGGGCCATCGTTCGGAACCATCGTTCGTCTTTGCAGCGCCGGGTTTTTGTGGAGTTCCCGTCTCCGTTTTTTTGTTTGTGTTTTTGTGTGTTGTTTCCATAGTTGGTCCCACGAGCTGCGGAGAAGGGGAAAGGTCCGCCCGGGCAGAGATCCGCGTTACCCGGGTAAGGCGGTAGATAGAACAGGGGGTCGCCATCTCCCTGAGCCCACCGTTTGAGACTGGGCTAGTTGTTGATCCGGGCCCCCAGCCAGGCTGACTCTCGGCACGGTCCGGATTACACCGTAGTCCGGCCCGGAGTGAGATGTTGTTTGGGAGAGGAAGTGGGTAGGTGGTGTGTGGGGGATATTGGGTTTGTGTAAAGCAACTCTTTAGATGCGGCTGAACAAATCGCATCGTCGGTACTGCCTCGTTGCAAGATACCCGCTGGTTGTCCGGGTAGCCAGTAAGAAAGCAGCGCACAACTCTAATTTGGGAACAGTGAGAGTCTTCAAAGTTGCCACACGAGATTATGAGCAAAATAGATGCACTTCTCGTTTGCCATCAGCTATTAAAACGAGATAGATATATCCTCCATATGCGTCGATGCTAGCGTCACAGAATCCGTGGATCTCAATAGCACCATTTGGCGAGCAATTGTGGAAAGCACCAGCCGTTTACATGGCTTTGGAGACACCTGTATGGGAGAAAAAGAAAAACGAAAGACATCCGCTGCAGGATCCCAAGCAAGACCCAGTGTCTTGGTAAAGTCGCTGCCATCGTCAAACTTCAGGAATGTTTCCTTTTCCGAGTCTGGAACTTTATCAAGGACATCGCGCTCGTTGGAACACCATTTCCTGAGCTTAAAGCCACCTCGTGCAAGCAAGTTTGTTGTTTGAGACATGATTTCGAGGACTTCCTGTGTTGATTGGCCTCCTGTGATCAGATCATCAACGTAAAAGTCCCGCAAAATGATTTTAGAACCGATTGGAAATGTGCTCTTCTCATCATTCGCCAGTTGATGCATCGCGCGAACGGATAAAAAGGCTGCAGGCTTAGTTCCATAGGTCACGGTATCAAGCTTGAATACCTGCACCTCCTGGTCCGGTGAGTCACGCCAAAGAATACATTGAATACCTGCACCTCCTGGTCCGGTGAGTCACGCCAAAGAATACATTGAAGATAGCTATCGGGTTCATCCACGCGAACACACCGATACATCTTGCAGATGTCACCAGTCAATGCAACAGGGAAAGTCCGAAACTGTAACAGCGTGTTGAACAGCTTCTGTTAAATGGTAGGCCCTGCCATGAAAACCTCGTTCAGCGAATGTCCACTTGACGTTTTGGCAGACCCATCTTTGAAAACACAGTGGTGGGGCAGAAAATATTTGCAAAGAGTTTCTGGGCACTACCGACATGTGCTTCAAATGCAAATATTCACGAATGAATGCCGAATATTGGACATTGACTTCTGGCTTGCGCTCTAGCTTGCTCTCCAAATTGAGAAATCGACGATAAGCTTGATTGTACGATTCACCCAGTAATTCTAGAGTGTTATTCGCAGGTAATCGTACGGGATATTCACCAGAGTCTAAACGACGAAAGTTGGTCTTGGAATGAGCTTTGCACTCCAGTTCTTCTTTGGTGGCTGTGACCACGCCTTCACCACAGCTCTCAACTTCCCAAAAACGACGGACTAATTCATCCATATGAACTTCAGCAGCTACCAATTCAAAGTGCACAGCTTGGCCGTGTAATGCAGTTGCCTTGAGAATAGAAGATCCACCTCCTGTCGCGATCCAACCAAGCCTTGTTTTCTGCAATAGGGGTAACCCAGCAGCCAACTTAATTTGCCCTACAGATAATAGCTCAAAGAACATGCTTGCTCCAATAAGGAGATCTATTCGCCGAGATCTATAGAAATCCGGATCGGCCAGCTGAATATTCGAGGGAATTTTCCAACCATCGGGCTTAACTGTCAAACTGGGTTGATTGCCGGTAATCGCTGGAGCAACAAGAGCAGGCATGCGAAGTAATCAGAAGTGTTCGACTTTAACTTAACGCAAACGGAAACTCCTTCAGAGTCAAATCGAGCATCTCCAAGGTAGACTTGGTTTTATGCAACTGCAACTGGTGAGCGAGTCGGGAAGTCACAATGTGGACTTGAGATCCCGAGTCTAGCAGCGCACGGCTGATCGACTTTGAACGCTTATGATGGCAATTGCAAGAAAGACAATGTCAGAATCCACATTCTGAGCCAGCAAAGAGGTAGAAAGGCTTGAAGTGGTTGCAATTGGCGTACTTTGTTCTGCAGCTGGAGCTCGCATAACCTGGGTCGAAGACTGAGTGCCAAGGTGCAAAAGGTGTGATGCTTGGACCTGCAAGTTCGACAGCAGCCTAACTTACAATTGCGCATTTGATGGCCCTTCTTTAAGCAATTAAGACAGAGCGCTAATTCCTTCACCTTTCGAATACGCTCTTGCACTGACAAATTGGCGAATTGACCACAGCTAAAAATTGAATGACCACTGTTGTCGCAAATAACACATCCATTTCCAAAAGTGTTAGTGTCAATTAAAATGCTTTTGTTGCGGCTTCTTCCTGATTGTGAACTATATGAGTACGATGCTGCAGTATGCTCTACATTTTCCAATTTTTGACAACGCTTGGACAAAAATGTAGTAAATTGATCAATCGAAGGAATTTCATCAATAGCCGCAGATTCTTCCCAATTGGCCTGAGCTTTGCTGCCTAATTTTTGGAGTAAAACATGAACCAGAATGCAATTTGAGCACGTAGATTAGCATTTATTTTATCAGATATATCTCTCAGCTTCGCTGCGGACCGCATTTCCACTTTAGGGAGACCCAAAATTGCAGTTATATGGGATTGGAAAATAAGACGCTTATTATTGAAACGGATATTCAATAACTCCAAGGCTACAGCATAGTTGCTGTCACAAATTTCTAATGAGCGCACTGTATCCAAGGCGCAACCCTTCAGGCTAGACTTTAAATGCTGCAGCTTCTCAATGTTAGTGAGCTCCACGTCATTGTCAATGATAGCTTTGAACATGGATTGAAAGTCGACAAATTCAGTATAGCCACCAGAAAATTCAGGCAACCTCAATTCAGGCAAATTGACGCTACCCAATTCTCGATTTAGCATGATTTGTATTGATATGATGAGCTCTTCAAAATCATCGCGAACCTGGCTGCCGATTTCATTAAAATCCAGTTCTTCAAGACTGTCATGGACCTGGGCAAATGCAGCCTTATTCTCCTCTGAGAGCTTAACACGAAGCTCTAATTCTTCCTCACTCATCGCCTGGAGCTTCTCAACAGTCAAGGCCCTCTCAGAGGATTTCGCCTTAGAAAGCATTGATTCAGCCTTCAATTTAAGATGCTTCACTCCCTGAACTAAAGCAGCTAAAGTTGTTTCGGTTGACATTTTAATAAATTTATTTTATTATTTTCAGCTTTTATCACTCGCAAAATAATTAAATTCCACAGTGCAGTGCGTGCTGTACCAAAACTCTTGACCACCGAAAACTAACGGAATGTATGTGCGTCTATTTGCACATAAACGGCAATATAGCGGTGGAAGGGGGGGGAACTCGCGAACAAAAACGTTTGGTCGCCGCTATAAAACGTTTCAAAGCGGGAACGAAGGCACAAAGAGGAAACCAAAATGTTCTATATGATGCGCGGGGCGGGTGTGAAGTGAGTTTCTAGCGGTGTTTATGTATTACCGCTTGCGCTTGCATATGTACCTAGAACTTGCAAGTTATGTATATGCGCGATCAATCAAACGAACGAAAATTAAATTGTTTGTTTGGTTGCACTTTAGTTTTTATTGTTTTTAGATAACGTCGGGGTCACCAAAATGTTGGGTCAGTGAGCTTTTTCACTAACGCTTTGATGGTGCCCAATTAAAACAAAACCGCACAAGATTTCAATTAAATATGCACTAATTTTAATCTAAATGACACCAAGGCCTTAATTACAAAGTTTAATGTTTATGTTTAAGATTATTTGGTTGGGCAGGCAGACCAATTTGTCTGTGCCTTTTAACAGCGAAAGTATAAACGAAGAGAATGGGCAGGCGATCTGCGACCGTGCCTTCAGCGAGCGAGTACAAAATCGAAACTAAACTTAAGTAGATGCTTGCCTTGGACAAAGGGCCAGGCAGCGATCGGCGAAGGAATTCAAAAGGAGTAGTAATTGAAAGAGATGCCACGCAGCGCAAATAGAAAAGGCAAAAACAAACATCGAGAATTCAATTTACGTTAAGATTAGAAAATTTAAGAATTTATTTAGGCTGCGGCATGACCGAACATTCTCCCCCCGTTGGAAGACCAGGGCTTTCAACCAGATCTTGCTTCGGCAGGACGCACAACTTGCGGAGAGCTCTTCGAGTGGTTCCAGTTGATGTTCGTATTACTGCCACACGAGCAACTCTATCAGATCCAGGCACCAATTCCATGACCCTGGCTAATGGCCATTTAAGAGGAGGCAAGTTCTCGTTTTGAACCAGGACGACATCGTTGACTTGTAGCGCAGGTTTGGGGATGCGCCACTTTGACCGTTGCTGCAACAGGGTCAGGTACTCCTCACGCCACCGTGACCAGAAGATTTGTTGAAAAGCAATTCTCTGCCAGCGGTCCAAACGGCTGAAATTTAGCTTTGTGACGTCAGGCTCAGAGTACAACACCAGCGGAACTGTGCCAAGAAAGTAAGCAGGAGTTAGCACCTCAAGGTCTGCTGGATTCTCTGAAAGAGGTAGTAAAGGTCGTGAGTTGATAATTGCTGCAATGTGGCAAACTAGTGTACGCAATTCATCGAATGATAATAGAGATGGGCCAACCGAACGATAAAAATGAAATTTGGCCGTTTTTACTGCAGCCTCCCAGAGGCCTCCAAAGTGAGGCGAACGTGGAGGAATAAAACACCACTCTATTGAATCTTCTAGGCAGAATTCCTCTATAGCTCGAATGTGTGGGCCAGACAGGAATAGATTCTTCAGCTCCGCCAGTTCGTTTTTAGCTCCAACGAAGTTCGTAGCATTATCTGACCATATCCGGGCAGGTTTGCCTCTGGTGAGAATAAACCGCTTCAATGCTCTTAAGAACGCTGGTGTTGAAAGATCCTGAACAAGCTCCAGGTGGATCGCTTTCGTCGCGAAACAGATGAAAACGCAGACGTACGTTTTCACAGGCACCTTGCTTCGAACTCCGGTTTTGTAGCAAAATGGCCCGCAGAAGTCCAGACCAGTAACCATGAACGTTGATGTTGCATTTACACGATCCTTAGGTAGGTCAGCCATTAAATGCTGAGATAATTGTGGTTTAGCTCGGAAGCATATGACGCACTTGGACGTCGCAGATGATACTGTTTTTCGGCCACCTATCGGCCAAAATTGAAGACGCATGTTAGCGAGCAGCGCTCGCGGACCGGAATGCAAGTTTTTCCAAAGCAAGTCCTCAGTGCTCATTGTAATCCAAGGACGAATTTTGTAGTCTGCCACCAACTAAGAATGCAGCCTCCAGTAGTCATCAGCCAGGCTGATCATTTGGATGCATCTGATAAGCATCTGAGTGCCCATTTTTACATCTTCGACATCGAGACCAGGACGTCTTATGCGGTGAACAAATTTGTATACGTATCCAAAAGTGTGGGTGATCTTTTGCCAAGAATTCACGAACTTGCATTTTGAAGATAGGTCCACTTCTTTAGCGACGCCGATCAAAATGCGCTTTCTGAGGTCGGGGAGAGTCTTCACTGGCATACAAGATTCAGGCCAACCGCGCTGATCCTTAAGAAGAAATTCTGGGCCTCTGAACCAAAGGGCAGATTCCAGAAGCTCGCTCGGGGAAGCACCTCTTGACAAGATGTCGGCTGGATTGTAGTCGGTCGGTACATAGCGCCAATTCATGCCACTGGATAGCTCTTGAATTAAAGATATTCGATTAGCAATAAAAACTTGAAAACGTGAAGGTTCATCGCCTATTAATGATAAAGCTACAGCAGAATCTGACCAGCAAAAAAACGTGCAATCAAAGAGCTTCATGTTGCGTACGTCCCGCATCAGTTGAGCCAGTAAGAAAGCAGCGCACAACTCTAATTTGGGAACAGTGAGAGTCTTCAAAGGTGCCACACGAGATTATGAGCAAAATAGATGCACTTCTCGTTTGTCATCAGCTATTAAAACGAGATAGATATATCCTCCATATGCGTCGATGCTAGCGTCACAGAATCCGTGGATCTCAATAGCACCATTTGGCGAGCAATTGTGGAAAGCACCAGCCGTTTACATGGCTTTGGAGAGACCTGTATGGGAGAAAAAGAAAAACGAAAGACATCCGCTGCAGGATCCCAAGCAAGACCCAGTGTCTTGGTAAAGTCGCTGCCATCGTCAAACTTCAGGAATGTTTCCTTTTCCGAGTCTGGAACTTTATCAAGGACATCGCGCTCGTTGGAACACCATTTCCTGAGCTTAAAGCCACCTCGTGCAAGCAAGTTTGTTGTTTGAGACATGATTTCGAGGACTTCCTGTGTTGATTGGCCTCCTGTGATCAGACCATCAACGTAAAAGTCCCGCAAAATGATTTTAGAACCGATTGGAAATGTGCTCTTCTCATCATTCGCCAGTTGATGCATCGCGCGAACGGATAAAAAGGCTGCAGGCTTAGTTCCATAGGTCACGGTATCAAGCTTGAATACCTGCACCTCCTGGTCCGGTGAGTCACGCCAAAGAATACATTGAATACCTGCACCTCCTGGTCCGGTGAGTCACGCCAAAGAATACACTGAAGATAGCTATCGGGTTCATCCACGCGAACACACCGATACATCTTGCAGATGTCACCAGTCAATGCAACAGGGAAAGTCCGAAACTGTAACAGCGTGTTGAACAGCTTCTGTTAAATGGTAGGCCCTGCCATGAGAACCTCGTTCAGCGAATGTCCACTTGACGTTTTGGCAGACCCATCTTTGAAAACACAGTGGTGGGGCAGAAAATATTTGCAAAGAGTTTCTGGGCACGACCGACATGTGCTTCAAATGCAAATATTCACGAATGAATGCCGAATATTGGACCTTGACTTCTGGCTTGCGCTCTAGCTTGCTCTCCAAATTGAGAAATCGACGATAAGCTTGATTGTACGATTCACCCAGTAATTCTAGAGTGTTATTCGCAGGTAATCGTACGGGATATTCACCAGAGTCTAAACGACGAAAGTTGGTCTTGGAATGAGCTTTGCACTCCAGTTCTTCTTTGGTGGCTGTGACCACGCCTTCCCCACAGCTCTCAACTTCCCAAAAACGACGGACTAATTCATCCATATGAACTTCAGCAGCTACCAATTCAAAGTGCACAGCTTGGCCGTGTAATGCAGTTGCCTTGAGAATAGAAGATCCACCTCCTGTAACGATCCAACCAAGCCTTGTTTTCTGCAATAGGGGTAACCCAGCAGCCAACTTAATTTGCCCTACAGATAATAGCTCAAAGAACATGCTTGCTCCAATAAGGAGATCTATTCGCCGAGATCTATAGAAATCCGGATCGGCCAGCTGAATATTCGAGGGAATTTTCCAACCATCGGGCTTAACTGTCAAACTGGGTTGATTGCCGGTAATCGCTGGAGCAACAAGAGCAGGCATGCGAAGTAATCAGAAGTGTTCGACTTTAACTTAACGCAAACGGAAACTCCTTCAGAGTCAAATCGAGCATCTCCAAGACCTGCAACTCATATGGTAGACTTGGTTTTATGCAACTGCAACTGGTGAGCGAGTCGGGAAGTCACAATGTGGACTTGAGATCCCGAGTCTAGCAGCGCACGGCTGATCGACTGTGAACGCTTATGATGGCAGTTGCAAGAAAGACAATGTCAGAATCCACATTCTGAGCCAGCAAAGAGGTAGAAAGGCTTGAAGTGGTTGCAATTGGCGTACTTTGTTCTGCAGTTGGAGCTCGCATAACCTGGGTCGAAGACTGAGTGCCAAGGTGCAAAAGGGTGTGATGCTTGGACCTGCAAGTTCGACAGCAGCCTAACTTACAATTGCGCATTTGATGGCCCTTCTTTAAGCAATTAAGACAGAGCGCTAATTCCTTCACCTTTCGAATACGCTCTTGCACTGACAAATTGGCGAATTGACGACAGCTATAAATTGAATGACCACTGTTGTCGCAAATAACACATCCATTTCCAAAAGTGTTAGTGTCAATTAAAATGCTTTTGTTGCGGCTTCTTCATGATTGGGAACTATATGAGTACGATGCTGCAGTATGCTCTACATTTTCCAATTTTTGACAACGCTTGGACAAAAATGTAGTAAATTGATCAATCGAAGGAATTTCATCAATAGCCGCAGATTCTTCCCAATTGGCCTGAGCTTTGCTGCCTAATTTTTGGAGTAAAACATGAACCTGAATGCAATTTGAGCACGTAGATTAGCATTTATTTTATCAGATATATCTCTCAGCTTCGCTGCGGACCGCATTTCCACTTTAGGGAGACCCAAAATTGCAGTTATATGGGATTGGAAAATTAGACGCTTATTATTGAAACGGATATTCAATAACTCCAAGGCTACAGCATAGTTGCTGTCACAAATTTCTAATGAGCGCACTGTATCCAAGGCGCAACCCTTCAGGCTAGACTTTAAATGCTGCAGCTTCTCAATGTTAGTGAGCTCCACGTCATTGTCAATGATAGCTTTGAACATGGATTGAAAGTCGACAAATTCAGTATAGCCACCAGAAAATTCAGGCAACCTCAATTCAGGCAAATTGACGCTTACCCAATTCTCGATTTAGCATGATTTGTATTGATATGATGAGCTCTTCAAAATCATCGCGAACCTGGCTGCCGATTTCATTAAAATCCAGTTCTTCAAGACTGTCAGGGACCTGAGCAAATGCAGCCTTATTCTCCTCTGAGAGCTTAACACGAAGCTCTAATTCTTCCTCACTCATCGCCTGGAGCTTCTCAACAGTCAAGGCCCTCTCAGAGGATTTCGCCTTAGAAAGCATTGATTCAGCCTTCAATTTAAGATGCTTCACTCCCTGAACTAAAGCAGCTAAAGTTGTTTCGGTTGACATTTTAATAAATTTATTTTATTATTTTCAGCTTTTATCACTCGCAAAATAATTAAATTCCACTGTGCAGTGCCTGCTGTACCAAAACTCTTGACCACCGAAAACTAACGGAATGTATGTGCGTCTATTGCACATAAACGGCAATATAGCGGTGGAAGGGGGTGCAACGAACTCGCGAACAAAAACGTTTGGTCGCCGCTATAAAACGTTTCAAAGCGGGAACGAAGGCACAAAGAGGAAACCAAAATGTTCTATATGATGCGCGGGGCGGGTGCGAAGTGAGTTTCTAGCGGTGTTTATGTATTACCGCTTGCGCTTGCATATGTACTTAGAACTTGCAAGTTATGTATATGCGCGATCAATCAAACGAACGAAAATTAAATTGTTTGTTTGGTTGCACTTTAGTTTTTATTGTTTTTAGATCACGTCGGGGTCACCAAAATGTTGGGTCAGTGAGCTTTTTCACTAACGCTAACCTTTGATGGTGCCCAATTAAAACAAAACCGCACAAGATTTCAATTAAATATGCACTAATTTTATTCTAAATGACACCAATGCCTTAATTACAAAGTTTAATGTTTATGTTTAAGATTATTTGGTTGGGCAGGCAGACCGATTTGTCTGTGCCTTTTAACAGCGAAAGTATAAACGAAGTGAATGGGCAGGCGATCTGCGACCGTGCCTTCAGCGAGCGAGTACAAAATCGAAACTAAACTTAAGTAGATGCTTGCCTTGGACAAAGGTCCAGGCAGCGATCGGCGAAGGAATTCAAAAGGAGTAGTAATTGAAAGAGATGCCACGCAGGGCAAATAGAAAAGACAAAAACAAACATCGAGAATTCAATTTACGTTAAGATTAGAAATTTTAAGAATTTATTTTTTGTCATGCTGATTTTTTATTGACTGAGAATCATTCCTCACATTAGGGTGATCAAATAATTTTTCAAATACTGCAGTCGAAAGGTTATTATTGAAACGTTCTTTAAGCATGGTCCAGGTACTGCCTGTTAATTATAAATGCCTAACTAACCTTTTGGCTTCGCCAGTAAGATTAGCTTTAAGATACCACATTTTTTTTATTTTTGGTATCGCTGATTCATGAACCATTTTATTAAAAATGTAATGAAATTGTTGCCATTTTAGATAGCTTCCATCAAATTTTGGAATGTAAACTTTTGGCAACTGTATCGAAGAGATTGTAGAAACCGCTTTATTGGTGGCTACTGA